GCCATTCTTAACTGTGATCCTCTGTATGCGATGTGTCTTTTCCCACCCTACTCTCCATCACCCTGGCTGCTTTTAAGAATTTCTTTTCATTACTGGTTTTGAGACACTTGATTACGATGAACCTTCGAACAATTATTTTTATGTTTCATCTTCCTTGTATCTGAGACTTTAAAATTAAAACATGGGAAATTTTCTGCCATTATATTAAATATTTTTATTTTCCTCTCTTCTTCTGAGACTTCAATTACACCTACATTAGACAACTTGATTTTATACCTTTGCTCATGAACTCTGTTTTTTAAAATATTGTTTCTCTTTGCTTCAGTTTGAATAATTTCTATTGCTTTTTCTTCACGTTCACTGAGTTTTTTCTCTGTGGTTTCTAATCTGTTCCTAATCTTATCTAATTTGTTTCTCATTTCAGTTATTTAAATATTTTTCATCTCTAGATTCATTATCTTTCATTTCCATTTGGACCTCACCGTGTCTTCCATTTTCTCCTCTTTATGTTTCAATATTTCTTTATACCTTGAATACATATTTTATGATATATAAACATATATGAGAGTAGATCAAAAAGTTCATGGAAAGATTTATATTATCTTTAAATTCTGCTTTTCCATGAATTTTTTGAAGTACTCTTGTGTATTAGTCCATTTCTCTTGCTTACAGCAAAATATTCAGAACTGGGTACTTTGTAAGAAAACAAAATATATTACTTTAAATTTGGGGTCTTTTATATGTCTTTAATCCATGTTGAATTGATTTTGGTATATTGCAAGAGGTAAAGGTCTAGCTTCATTGTTCTACATATGGATGTCCAGTTTTCCCAGCACCACTTATTAAAGAGGCTGTCCTTTCCCCAATGCATGCTCCTGTTACCCTTGTCTAATATCAATTGGCTGTAAGTGTGTGGGTTGATTTCTGGGTTCTTTATTCTGGTTCTTTATTCATTAGTCTGAGTGTCTGCTGTTATGCCAATACTATGCTCCTTTTGTTACTATAGCTTTGTAGTATAAATTGAAGTCAAGTAGTGTAATGCTCTGGCTTTAATTTTTTGCTCAGAATTGCTTTGGCTAATCAGGTTCTTTTGTTGTTCCATATGAAAGTTAGTATTGTTTTTTCTATTTCTGTGAAGAATGTCATTGGTATTTTGACAGGGATTGCACTGAATCTGTAGATCACTTTGGGTAGTGTGGACATTTTCAAATGTTAATTCCTCCAACCCAAGGGCATGGAATGTCTTTCCATCTCTTTGTGTCCTCTTTAATTTCTTTCAGCAGTGGTTTGTAATTCTCGTTGTAGTGATCTTTCACTTCCTTGGTGAAAGCAATTTCTAAGTATTTTATTTCTTGGTGACTATTATAAATGGGCTTGCTTTCTTGATTTCTTTTTCTGCTAGTTTGTTGTTGGAGTATAAAAAAGCTACTAGTTTTTGTATGTTGATTTTGTATCCTGCAACTTTACTGAAACCATTTATCAGCTCTAAGAGTTTTGTGGTAGAGTCTTTAGGTTTTTCTATATATAGGATCATGTCATCTGCAAACAGGGACAGTTTGACTTCGTCTTTTTCAATCTGAATGCCTTTTATTTCTTTCTTTTGCCTAATGGCTCTGGCTAGTATTTCCAATACTATGTTAAATAGCATTGGTGAGAATAGACACCCTTGTCTGCTCCTGTTCTTTCAGTTGGAACCAACCTAAATGTCCATTGACAGCTGACTGGATAAGGAGAATGTGGTATATACATACTACTCTGTCATAAAAAGAATGAAATTCTGCCATTTGCAGCAACATGGATAAACTTAAAGAAAATTATGTTAAGTGAAATAAGCCAGGTACAGAAAGAGAAATACTGCGTGTCCTTACTCATAAGTGGGAACTGAAAAAACAAACAAATAAACAAAAGAAAGAAAGAAAAATACAACAATCACAAAAATTCCTTGAACTCTCAAAAGGAGATAAGGGAACTGAGGACACCTGAAGTGGGAAAGGGGGAAAGGGAGGGGTGTTAGAGAGAAATTGGTTAAGGGTTACAAAAAATGTTTACATTGTGTAATGATAAAATAAACTTTATTCATTTATTTATTTGTTTGTTTATTTGTGAATGAATACAGTTTATTTTTTTATTTATTAATTTTTTTATTGGTTATGAATAGTCATGGGGTACAAAGCTGATTGTTACCACTCATGCCCAAGATGTGATGGCCAGATACATGTCGGCAGCATGCCCATTGCCACAAATTGTGATTATACCCCATGTCCCCCAAATATCTCCGACCTCCCTCCCTATCCCCTTTTCCCCCAAATCACTTTTTATTCCTAGGTATGCTCTCTCCCTCTGTAAGTCCAACACACCTCTGGGGTCTTTCTTTCCTTCCTTCTTTCTCTCTTAGCTACCACTTATGAGTGAGGACATGCAGTATTTATCCCTCTGTGCTTTGCTTATTTCACTCAACATACGTTTCTCCAAGCTCATCCATGTTGTTGCGAATGGGAGAATTCTATTCTTTTTTATGGCAGAGTAGTATTCCATTGTGTATTTATACCACATTTTCCTTATCCAATCATCCATCAATGGACGTTTAGGTGGATTCTATATCTTGGCTATTGTGAACAGAGCTGCAATGAACATAAAAGTACAGGTATCCCTTTGACATGATGATTTCCTTTCCTTTGGGTTTATACCCAGAAGTGGGATTGCTGGATAGTATGGAAGATCTATCTATAGTTTTTTGAGAAAACTCCATACTGTCTTCCATAGTAGTATACTAATTTACAGTCCCACTAACAAGGTAGGAGCATTCCCTTCTCTCCACATCCTCACCAACATTTGTTATTTTCCGTCTTTTTGATGATAGCCAGTCTAACTTGGGTGGGGAGATATCTCAATGTAGTTTTAATTTGCATTTCCCTGAGGACTAGTGATGTTGAGCATTTTTTCACGTCCCTATTGGCCATTTGTATGTCTTCTTTTGAAAATGTCTATTCAGTTCCTTTGCCCATTTTTTAATTGGGTTGTTTGTTTGTTTTTACTGTGTAATTGCTTGAGTTCCTTGTATATTATGGATATTAAACCCTTGTTGGATGCATAGTTAGAAAAAATTTTCTCACACTCTGTAGGTTGTCGTTTCACTCTGTTGATTGTTTCGTTTGCTGTGCAGAAGCTTTTGAGTTTGATATAGTCCCATTTGTTTATTTTTTTCTTTTGTTGCTTGTGCTTTTAGGTTCATGTTCATATAGTTTGTGCCCAGACCTAGTTCCTGAAGTGTTTCACCTATATTTTCCCTTAGTAATGTTATAGTTTCAGGTCTTATACTTAAGGCTTTAATCCATTTTGAGTTGATTTTAGTATAGGGTGATAGGAGCATGTCTAGTTTCATTCTTCTGTGTATGGATATCCAATTTTCCCAGCACCACTTATTGAGGAGGCAATCTTGCCCCAATGTATGTTTTTGTTGCCTTTGTCAAATATCAGATGGTTGTAAGCTTGAGGGGTGATCTCTGGGTTCTCTATTCTGCTCCACCAATCCAAGTGTCTA